CCATATCCCCTGAAAATAACTCTGTACAGGAGTTTCATGAATTTTGAAACAAGGACTACAGTTATATTAGCCATAACTGTCCTGCGTTGTGGCTTGGATGCTGTGTTGCAGCCACACACATAAGCATGGAACTGGGGCTTCAGTTTGCTGCGTTGACTTCTCTCTTTTAAAGCAAATGGATTGAACTTTGTTTATCTATTTTCATTTTAAATGTGTCCTGAAATAAAGACTGACAGCCATAGAGATCTGGTGGAAAGAAATCTGCACCATTCATCAAGGATTTCTCAGTTACATATATACTTTGAAGCATGTTGTCTCAAATAGAAACTTTTAGTTGTCCTCAATGCACAGCTCATCTCCTCCCCTCCCGCACCCCACATTCACACACAACCCCTTTCATTCTCATAATATGGTCTTATCTGTGACTATTTCATCCATAAATGGAGCACAGCCAAACAGATGAGGTCAGTTATGCTGCGAAATCATCTGTGCTAATTTACACTGAACTGTAACACGGGCACACATCTCTACATCTAGAATACTAAAAGGGTCAAGGGGGTCTTCAAATATAAAGAAACAGCATTCATGTCATTTCTCAAACTGTTGTAACTGAAGTCAAACTGAGGTCACATTAAATTTCCTGTTTTGCCTGCAGAATGTTTTGCAATAGAAGTTCTATGGAGTAGCAAAACAACTCTTCACATTCAGGAACAGCTTTCCCAACACTCAACTGTTAGACATGTTTGTTACAAGAGCCTCTGTAATTGATTGTGCAATCACTATTATCAGTTCTATTTTTATTTCAACCTCCAAGGTCAAGGCAGCCTTCATGGCCCTTCCACAGCAGTGGCATCCTCACATGAACCCTGCAAGGTAGGGGAGGCTGATTAGTCAAAGTTGGTTAATGAGCTTTGTGTCTAAATGGGGCTTTCGAACTGGGTCTTCACAGACCTAGTCCTGTACTGTAACTCTTACACCAGACTTTTTTTTGTAGTGATATGGCAAAAAAAAGCTAAGAAATGTTGCCACATATTAGGCATGAGAAAAAGTTGATGGGCACTTTGCCAGTGACAGGAAGAACATCTACTCATCCTGGTGCCAGTGGAAAACTTCATGTAGCACACAGTATCCATGGGGACACCAGGTGCCACACAAAGGAGCAAATGTTCTTTTTGGTACCAGTGAAGTCCCTTTCTCCTTGCTGGGTTGAGAAAGGAAAGGAAGCAAGGGGGTAGGTTGAGGTCATAAGCAGGTGTACCCCTCCTGTGATGGCAGGGATTGCAGCCATGTGCTAAGGTGTCATTCAGCCTGCAAAGGTGTTTGTAGTGGCAGGCAATTTAAAAGGTTGTGTACCCCTGATGTTTGCCTATGGGCTTTCCAGAAGGAAGGAACACTACGTAAGCTGTGAACTGAGCAATCAACACCGTAATTTTTTGGGGACAATCTGTATTTGCTCTTGGGTGTGCAGTGGAAACTGTGCTTGTACTGTTGGGTCCTTGCATATGCTCTGAAAGGGAAGGCAGACATACTGTGCCACTGAATGGAGATCTGCCATTATTTGGCAGCTGGTACCATTTTGGAGGGTGCTTTCAACAGAAATGTTTAGACCAGTTGAGCAGGCCAAAGCAGCCTGTCTCATACTGAGCAAAAAATGTCTAGAACTTTGTCTAATTATAGCCTAGCACCTTCCTCCAGCCTGGTGTTCTCCAGATGGATTGGCCTGAAATTTGACTGTGCTGAGCCAAGATGGTCACGCTGGCTTGGAAAATTGGGAGTAGCAGTTCAGCACATCTGGAGGCTGCTGGACTTGGGAAGGCAGATTCTAAGTTTACTTATGAGTTTTTTACAAAGTCTTTGATTCATAAATCAGACACTGTAGATCTCCATAGTGCAGCAAATCTTCAAGTTATATGAAATGCTAATGAAAGAACCTGGAATATGCAATAGTCTGACAAGCTAAGCCTTCAGGGCAAGATACTTCACTGTCTGCACTGGGCACCTTGAGCTGGTTTGCATAACGTAGACAGTTCATTGTGGACTAAAATGAACTGTGGCAAATTCCCAGTGTGTTCCGCCATTTTGAATGTGCAGCCATGTGTTACATTATGTGAACTCAGCCACTGAGGGCTTTTCAAGGGTCAAACAGTGGTGATGTGTGGTGGTTAGTGTTGAACTGGGGTCCTGGGGAAAATGAGCTCTAATCCCCTCTCAGCCATGAAGCTCATTAGGTTACTTTAACCTGACACTCAATTTCAGTCTAACTTACCTCACAGGGTTGTTATTGTGAGGATACAATGGAGCTATGTAAGCAGTTTTTTTCACAAGAGAAAAAGGCAGGATATAAATGCAATTCAATAGTAATAATCAACTTTCATATAAGCTTGCCGCTAATTGAAGTTTACCGTATTTTTTGCTCTATAAGGCACACCTGACCATAAGACGCACCTAGTTTTTAGAGGAGGAAAACAAGAAAAAAATATTCTGAATCAAATGGTTTACTAAACTATTTAATAAACTATAACAGAATACAGTAATATCGTATTTCAACATTGTAAAGTGAACAGCAGTCAACAGTGGCATTAAGAACCATTATCACTGTCATTAACAAAAGAGAGACTTTAAAGTTCGAGTACTCTTCTAGTTTTTGTTGAACCCATAGAACTCATCATCATTAGAGTCAGAATTTATGAAGCTCTGTTGCTCACAATCACTGACATCACTTCCTTAGCCAGTAGTGGAATTATTGAAGGAATCCACAATCTACACCAGTTATACAAGAGCTGCTGCAGACAATTCAGTAACAAATCTAAAAAAGCCAGTAATGTCTACGCTGCCCTACTAGTAAATAATAGAAAAAATCCTCTGACAAAAAATGAGATGTTGTACAGTAAATCAAACATACAGCAGACTAAGTAGCCTTTGAAAAATAAACTTCATACACGAAGGTAATGCTGTTCAAATATCCACTGATTCTAAAAAAAATGTGTCTGATCAACTAACAGATAACTGATCCATGGAAAGCTTCCTGATAGTCACAGGTCTGTGTGTGTTTTCAAAGGGCAACCCATCTTTTAATGAAGCCCATGGGGAAGTGATGGGGAATGTGCCTGTGATTAACAGCTCTCAGCTGTGCCGGAGGAGGGGGGCGGAGCAGGGCACGCCGAGCACGTGCTGGCCAGGTGGTGCCACATGGGGCCGGCAGCGTGCCAGCGGTGGTCTTCCGGGCGGCGCGGCAGCAGTGGCAGGTCTTCCCGGGCGGTGGGGGTGAGCAGTCCGTCTCTCCATGCGGCCGGCGGGTTAAAGCCTGCGGCTCCTCCTCCTCCGCACCTCTCCCCCTGAGCGGCACAGCTCTCACCTGCGCCGGAGGGGGGGGGAGTGGAGCAGGGAGCGCCGAGCGTGTGCTGGCCACGTGGTGCAGGTGGGCCAGCAGCGTCCCGGGAGTCGGGCACACACACATTCGCTCTATAAGACGCACAGACATTTCACCTTGCTTTTGAGGGGGAAAAAATGTGTCTTATAGAGTGAAAAATACAGTATATGCAATGAGCCATGCAAATCAGGGCATTCTCTTTGCCTCCATGGTACCCCCTGCTATGTAGCCACCTTACAGACTCCTGAAGGAGAGGCCTATTATCTCAATTTCAGCTGCCTAAATGTGACACTTCAGGAGGGGAGGGGAGGAGGCTAAGGCACTTGCAGGAAATGCTGTTTCTTGGGGGTGGCAATCTCCTTCCTGCCCTCCCCCCCATGGTCGCTCTTACAACCCCAGAGAAGCTCCTACACAGCTCCATCTGCACCAAATACAGATCCTCAAGTATGAGGTCAGAGCAAAATACCAATGTTTTAGCTGGGAATCCAAAAAACCCTATGGCTGTAGCAACTGTAGGATTATGCAGCCTGCTTGCTGCTTCTAAGGGTTAATCTATGCAATGTTCTGTCTCTTTTACACTGAATCCCTTCAATTTCATTTTCGCTAAATAAGAAATTCTGAGATATATTCAGCCTAAAATTGTACAGTAACGCATACAGGATTGCTGCAAGTCTGTATGTTTTAAGAATACCAGCACTGATTTTCATTACAAGCGACATCACTATTTCCATTAACTAAATTCTAAACTCTGTAATTGCTTTTGTATTTCTACAAGTAAGTCTTTAGTTTTATACGTGCTCTTTAACAAATTATAAGGCACTTGTTAAGGCCAATAAAGATTTTTGCAGTAAGAAAATTTACTGTTTTATTGCATCTGCTCCTGTATTGGCTCCGTAAATGTAATTCTTTGCCTTTATTTTTTTATAACGCTTTCTACTGCAATGCTATACAATTTTTTCTCTGTGTTTTTTTTAAGGTTTCTGGCCTCACAATCATTCATTATATGTATAACTTGCCTTTTTCCTTTCAAAGCGGCTCGCATTATTCTCGTCTGCCTCTCAAGAACCATGCAACACCTTTTTCCACAGTACCTTAACTGTGTAGCGCGTAGCTGAGAGTAGATTTACCACCCCAAACACGCTCGGAATATTTCCGAGGAAAACGTTAGCAGCCAACAGAAGTGCACTTGAAAGACACGCGCACATACATCGGCATCAAAGAAAATGCAAAGAAAGGAAAGGGGATGAGCTGCAGCTATATGCAACGCAATGAACAAAAGGTGAAGGTCTGCTCTTAGGCCCCGAGCCCGGTCACGAGACACGATGCCAAGAGGACTAGCTGCACAGTATGTCTTTGCATTACGAACTCTTATGCGAGGCTCCCGTTGGGATCAATGACTCAAGAGACGGGAAAGAAGCACGGAGGGCGGAGGTGAGTAAGAAAATGCATGCCAAATCCGGGAGGCCGGCCAAAGGACTTCTTGTTGGGTTTGTAGGTCAAGGCCCCGGCCAGCTCCGTAGCCCCCCGGCGACCACGTTCTCCACGCGAAGCGAGCCTATCGCAGCCTCCTTCGTCTTCCCCCGCCTGTTCTCCTCCCTCGCGGCTCGGAGGCGGAGTCGCGCGTGTTGTTTTTTTTCCCGGCCCGGCGAGTGCCGATCTCGCATCCCGTCTCGCTGCTGCTGCTGCTCCCGCTTCTCTTCTGTGCTCGCGCTCTCCGCCGGCATGGCCTCCTGGCGATTCTCCGATTCGAGCCCGGCCGGCTCGGTCAGGCCCAGCTTGACCTCCGTCTCTTCGAGGGAGCTGCAGAGCGCTCGGACGTGCAACTGCGAGATGGCGGTGCTGCCGCTGCAGCAGCTGCTGCTTTTGCAGCCCGACTTGTTCAAGCTGCAGGGGGACACTTTGGCCGTGCTGAGCCCGCCGAACTACCAGCCCAGCGGTGGCTTCACGGTGATCAGCGACGGCTCCCTGCGGGTGGACGGGCAGCACCATTGCAGGGTCACCGGCTACTTCAAGAGGTAACGGAGCTCTTGCATCTGCTTCCTTCTTTAAATGACTTGCTGAGGGACGTGGGGGTGCTGTGCGGCGGGGCATTTGGTCCCTTTTGCGGCTCTGACAGATGCAGATCCGTGCATGTCTGAAAAAACTGCACCTGCTGAATTGCTGCCTGTCACGCGGCATGCAAAAGCACTACAGCCCTATCCGGGAACACAACGTTGACTCAGTCTTAATTCTGGGTCCAAACTCAAACTACTATCTTAGATCAGAAGCAAAAGTGAGAACTGCAGCTGATAGAACTGGGATCAAAGGTCTGGATTAAGGAATGGTGGTATGAAACTACAGAACCTGTTAGGAAATGGCGGGTGGCCGTGCACGCACCTGTGTGTGTTTGGGTGGGCAGGTGATTACTTTTGGCTCATGCAGATGGGATGCTTTGTCGGGGAAGTGGGTTTGAAGAGAGATGGAGAAGGTGCTGTTTGGTGATTTCTTGTCCTCATTTTGTTTTCCTAAAGCATCAGAAGTAGATTACTAATGTAATCATTTACATAGTAAAATTACTCTCATTTCATACTATTCTTTTAGTCACCTAGCAGGAGTTATAATGCTTCTTTTCCCGTATTCTGCCAGGCAATAATTCCACAGGGCACCACTGTGCTATTTTTGAACTACTGTTTCAGTTCTAAGAGTTTATAAAAGAGATTGTAAAGGCGTACATCTGAGCATGAACAATTTGTATCTTCTTGCTTCTCTCTCCCCATCCCCAATCGCATATGAAACTTGACTGGGATTGCTAAGTGGTGAAGGTCTGTCTAGGTTTGATCCTGGATTGCTCTCTTCCTAGAAATTAAAACACATACTGAAAAAGTCCACCATGTATTCTTCTGCATTAGGTAAGGGTTTGGGAAGGAAAGAGCTGTCCATGAAAAGAGTGTTCATATTCCAGGGCAGCAGACTTTCCAGGTTTGTGTGATTTAGTTTGTCATTATGTTACAAGAGGTAGGTGCAAAATAATGGCTGTGGAAATATAACCAAACTATGGACAATATTCTGTACATTTTGGTGGGCTAACCTGCACATACAATCTGCATTATTACAGATCTGAGTCCCATAAGACACATTTTTAAACTATTCAGCAGAGCTGCACAAAGGCTAATCAAAGGCATCCAGTTAATACTTGTGGGTTTAGAACAATGAAATTGCAGAATAAGTGATTAGCCCAAGACCAGATTTATGTATTTAAAGCTTTTATACACTGTTCTTTAGCTGACACTCTCAGAATGGTGTGCAGTCATTTAAAATAGCATAAAACATAACATCCAATTAACACACACAGTAATCAAAAAAGTTCAAGCATAGTAAACAACAAGGGCAGCCCCAATTAAAGCACATTACAGTAGTCCAAACATGAGAAGTTGCAGAACTTTGTTTGAAAAGTCACTTTTAGCTGCTGCTAAGATGTTGAAAGTCAGAAACCCAGGGTGCAGGGACCTTGGAAGCTACGCAATAGTGATTCAAGACCATTGGTTCACCCAACTCACCAGTGCTGATACTGACTGGCAGCGCCTCACCAGTAGTCCATGTTTTATGTAGAACATTTTCCATCCCTACTTGGAGATTCTGGGTATTGAACTTGGAATCTTGGGCATGCAAAGCATGTTTGGTGGTACCACTTCAGACCTAGTACCTGGAATTCATCTTTCAGATGCACACTAACTTTCTGTTCATCTCTGCTCAGTTCACAATTTCAGGATTTCCCAGCAGTAGTATTACATTATACTTGAACAAGTCAAGTTGAATCCTACAATAACAAAGGCTTTAACGTCCAACTTAACTTCACACTTAAATGCTAAATTCCCTATTCAGCAACAGAATCTGCTTGAATTAACAGACACTGGGGGAAAGGTGGACTATGATTTTTTCCGAAGCCCCATGCATAAAGATCTAGGAGGCTGCCATTGGAAACAGAATTTTGGATTTGCTGAACCTTTGCTCCTGTCATGCATGGAGTTTTGCATTTCCTGCAGTATAGCCATAAACTACCAGTATGAATATACAGCCAAATGCTGGTATTAAATGTTCTTTATGAGAGGGAGGCAGAGTCTCATGCTAAAACAAGGAAGCATTTTCTTGCATCTTCAGGTTTTAAGAAATTTATGATCAGTGTCTACCCTAACAGACCCTTCATGCACTCCATTTCTCAAAATTTTTTCACTGCTGATGGATTGAAGTGAATAACTGTGGTATGTCTGAAATGAAAACTGGTAAAAGTTTTGGGAAGAAGTTATCCTTAAGTGCTAAGAGCTTATCTCTGTCATGTGTATTTATAATACATCATGGTGTTGCACCTCTGCCTGAAATTCTGGAACAGGCGTAAAATGAGCTTAAAGACATGAACACCAAGTGAGAGATTACTTAAAAAAAAAGTAAGCTCATGACTTTCAGCCTGGGAGAGGGTATATTGCATTCTTGGACAATTTTTTAATATGAGACTTGCAGAAAATGACACAGATTTTCTGCCAATGAATTCCCAGCAGTTCAGTTTTTTTTAAACCCTTAGCATTGTAATAGAGGTTCTAGAAAAAGGAAGAGCAAGCTCAGCAAATTCAGGTACTGTGGCTGCTAGAAGAGACATTTTTGGGAGGGGAAGTATAGCCTCACTGTCTCGCCTCTCTTTCTTTGTTGCAGCCAAGGAAAACATCTGTTTCTACTTGCCCCAGTTTTACTGTCCTGGAAAAAAACTTCTGTTTGCAGCCTAACAATGCTGCTTTCTTTAATCCTGGAGTTAATGCCAGTTTAGACCTAGAATGTGTAAAATAACAATACTTGCCATTTCAATAGGACTAGTGTTCAGAACACTTTATTATACTCCCTCAGTAATGTTGGTGATCCTGTAAGACAGGCAGCATTAGGTGTCATAACAGTTGTAGTTTTAATAATGATATTAGATTTTAGGGAGAGAGGCCAAGTGGCTTGCCTAAACTTGCCTGCTAAGATCATGGCCAAAGTGGAACAGAAAGAGGGAATTTCTGGCATAGGTGGCAGTGCTATCCAAGTATACATATATAGGACTGTGCTGCTCTATTTAGATCCAGCCCTTTGCATAGTCCCTGGAAAATAAGCTGTGCATATGATTGGCATGTAACTTTGGTATGTTCACTGAGCTCTTGGTAGACACGTACTGTTCCACATACCATATAGGTACCAAAAAGCCACCTAGCTTTTACTCTTAGTGGTACAGTTGTTGGTGCAGGTAGGAATGTTCCAGCACTGCAACCAGCATGATTATAACTGGGGTTAATTATTTACTTTGGTCTTCTGCTGACTCAAAATGCTCAAGGGGGTTTGGGCTGCGGCAGCTGTCAGCTGGAGCCGTGATGGCCAGGGATGATGAGAACAGTAGCCACAAGAATCGAGGAGGCACAAGGCTGGGGACACATAGAATAGCAGAGTTGAAAAGGGCCAGAAAGGCACTGGGTCCAACCCCCTGCTTAATGTTGGATGCCAAGTTAAACCATCCCTCTCAGATGGCTGCCCGGTTGCATCCTGAATGCCGCTAGTGTGCGAGAACCCACAACCTCCCTTGGTCATTGGTTCCACTTGGTGTGCTATGTATTTGCTTGATTGTGCCATGAGGCTCTTTTGTGTAATGATGATTACAGCCTAAAAGACATGCTAGAAAATAAGAAAGGATGAAAATTAAAGGAGAACTTGGATGTTTCAGGTACCAGCTCTGTGATGTGATTACAAATTGATGTCTTTGATGTCTTGAGCTAATGTTTAGGACAAGACTCCTCCCTAGCAAAACAAAAACAATCAGAAAATCTTGAGTAGGACCGGTTATGTGAAACTGTTCTTGCAGAAAACTGGAAAACCAGGAAGAACACACCCAAACTCTAGGAAAGGTCTGTTTTAGATATAGCAGTCTGCGTGTGACCTTAGTGCAGAGGCCTAATCTACACTACAAAACAATATATAGGTTTAAAATTCCCTCCCAAATATATGTGTATGTGCACACCAGGGTCTTAATATTTTTTCTACACTGGCTATTTCCACTTGAGGGAAGACTATGTCACTAACATAATATGTAGTTTGGCTTAAGATACAGGAAGAGAACTGCATTGAGCCAAGTGTGAGGCAGTGTCTGGAATGTTATCTAGCACCTCTATGGTGTAATCATGCAGTTACATTTTATTCTCAGTAACCTGACCAGATCTGAATTACTGTTCCAAAGCAGGTTGTTGAGCTTGGCTGAAGTCCCTTGTGGAAAGGAGGGTGAGTGGGGTACTAAAGTTTCATTTTGTTTTTTAAAGGCCATCATGTGGTTTTCTCTTACATTTTAGGGTAATCTCCCCCTCCCTTTCCACAGAACTGTTTACAGAATTTGTACATCCTATACCCATTTTATGGAGATGGGCAGAATTAATGTAATAGGACACTTATCCCAGACTAAGTACTAAAATACCTAATTGGTCTTTTAGTATTATGTAGACCAGGGGTACGGAGCCCCCCCCCCCCCCCGGGGCTGGGAAGCCATATTCAAAATGCGGGGACACCCAATCTGGCCATTTAGTTTGCTCAGGATGGCCCCACCCTTGTCCAGTGACTACCCATTATTGGTGATAACCCAGCTTTTATGCAGGTTTTTTCCTCACTGAAATGCCACTTCTAAGGCTGAAATAATTAAAGGCAGCAATGGAGCAATTCTGTGACCCCTTGGCAGCATCTCCACCCCAAACCTGGGGGGCTGAAGATCAGTATTTGAATTGCCTTCCCCACCACAGCCAGCATGCAAAAAGCTGTGTATCAGCTGCTTCTCCAGCTGCTTCTTGTAAGAATGACTGCAGATAAGAGGGAAAGAGACCAGATCCTAGTGACTCTGCAACCTCCCCTCCCCATGCAAAGGGATTGCTGTTAGACAGCCCAAATTAGCCACCCAGCTCCTTTGCAGAGTGGAAAGCACATGGAGAAGACCACCTCCATGCTCCTCCTGCCTTGCATTGCTTGTCCATAGTCCTTT